AGTTTAGACGCGCTGCCAACGTGCATATTCAGCCATTGACTGGATGCATTACGCGCTTGCCTTTTACTCCGAAGGTCACCAGTTCGAATCCGCGTAGTTGTGAGGTGGCCACGTGGTGTGCCCAGCCTGCATACGACCACTGGTGGTCGTGTGGTATTAAAGCGTCGGAACGGTGTGCCATTGGGCCTCTGATACGATGTCGATGTCAGTGGAATAATGAAACAGTGGTATAATACAGGTGAAAAAGCAGCTGCTTTACAAGTCCCTTAGGATGGTCAGAATGAGCAACACAACTTGGTGAATAGGAAGCAAAGCGATACAATGAATATCGTTTTGGTGGATTCACCATAGTGTACACAGAGTGACATGCAGAAAGGAGCCAACCTCGATTGCGTAGCTTAGTGTGGTAGGTGCAACCTTCGTCAGATTATATCGTCTGTCGAGGTTTACGGGTTATATCTCGTAATGTGGGTGGATTACAGCAAATTCGAAGTCTTCTTTAAACGCAGATAAAATAGGAGCGGAGACAAGGCAATTCCGGAAGGCGTTCCGGGGCTGGCAGACACGAAGTCTGTAAAATTTTGTCAACATCCTGGCGGACTGTGTTGCGTGGAAAACTTGAGCTGGTGGCCCCTCATATTCCTGTTGTGACTGTTGTAGTAGGTGGCGGCAGACGTGATTGAGGTTCCGCAAAATCTGGCAGGCCGTTATTCGGTCACCGCGTAGACGCCGATACTGACTGCTGTACAGCCTTAGAGTCTTCAGCCTAAGTTGCTGTGGAAGGTGAAACAGCCTTTGAAATGTTTGGTGGCTGTTCGCTTTGGAGTCTCTAGTGCTGCTGCATCTTGTTTTTGCCATTGCTGCCAGACCTGGACTGAGAATTCCATATGAGGCCGCAGTGTGTGTGTAGTAACTGCGAGCAGACAGACGGAGCAAAGCGCCTGAATGCCCTCCGCAGCATGCCAACACGCTGGTTCCCAGTCTTTGATGTCTTCTCAGATTGTTCTGAGCAGCCCAGATCAGCCTGGATTAATACCCCAAGTTTGCGTTCCTGGGTGACTGCTTGCAGGACATGGTCTGCAAGCTTGTATTTGATGTTCGGCTGGTGACGAATGTGGACCACCTTACACTTAGGCGAATTATATGCGAGCAGATTTCTGAAAGACCATTCATACACCCTGTCCAGATCTCGCTGAAATGCAAAGCACACAGTCATCTTAGATCAAAGTGGTTACGTGTCCATGCTGGACGCTTGGGTGTGCTTTGCCTTCTCTGTGTTGTCTTTTGTTGTTTTTCATTAAAACATTAAAGGCTACCCAGTCCAACAGGTTGCCACTTAAGTAGCACTGCAATTCATGTACAAAGATGGACATGACGATGCATGCCACCCATCAATGGGAAGTGAGTTAGTGTTCGGTCGGATTGCGCAACTGTACACAATTCATCAATTACAAGAATTTGACTGAGAACACTGGTAGGCGAATTGTAGATTTGATTGAAAGATCTTTTTCTTATGCGAGGATCAGTTTCGTCTCCACAATTCTGCACTATAAACCAAACAAGGTATAGTTCCTGTAATTCATATGCGGTCAATGTTGTACTTGTTTACAAATGATTGTCATTTTCACGGCGGCATCTACCACAAACATACACTATTAAGCCCTTCGTACACAAGCAAGAATTTTGACCCAAAAATTATAGTTTGTGTTGATTGTGATATACTAGATTTCTTAACCTAATGGTGCAAATCTTAGACTTTAAGCTCTAGGAACGGACAGCTTTTTGAGCCTGTGGATGTAGAAAGAGAGCCTTCTAACATTTTAATAGTTTCAAGAATATATGTGGATCAAGACAATATGTTAGATAACAGAACCCTGAGGTATTTTAAAGTAGAGGAACGAGATATGCTTTGAGTACCTACAATTAAGGTAGGGGAGGTGTATACAATGGGACGATGTATGTTGGGATGCGGAAGAACGTACGTTACGTCACTGCAGTTAGAAGGGTTGGAGAGAGAGAGAGAGGGACACAGAGCTCGGCCAAGCCACTAGCTCATCTAACACAGAGTTTCAAAAATTCCGAGATGATTGGGGTTGTGCAACCCTGGACGAAGTCGTCAACATATATACTATCAATGAAGTTCATAGTTCGACATAGACGGAAAGCAGAAAGAGAGATTTGGTAGGTGCCTGCAAGACACAACTGTTAGCTGGGTGTGAAGAAAAATTCAATCGCATAGCTGTATGAATTGTTTGCTGTTTGTGAAGTAATTGCGCATCACAATACACAAACATGGGAGGACGCTATTTTCGGGCAAAGCTTTTAGCGGTAATTTTCTGTCGAGTCTCTCAAAAGAGCTGATATAATCGCGAAACAGGAGTCGTACGTTCTTACATCTGTAATCTAACGTTAAGGTAATGCAATGCACCAGCTACGAAACAGCATCCAATGTTGAGCGCCCTGGTCTATAGGCAAACTGTTTGACATCATCAGTATGATTGCCTGTGAAAATGCTGGGGAAGCATCAGATTTTCCAGCACATTTTGCCGTACGGACTGCACGAAATTGACCGACACCTCCAAGATCCACTTTTAGGCACTGGCGTTCGTATGCTGATTTCCAAATCTCGGGACTGGCATCAGTCGTTAAGCCCACTCTTTCAACATATCCGATCGGTTTGCTTGTGATGCTGAGGGAATTTAGTGGGTATGGGAGGATCAGAATATAGCGTTGGGTTTACCCACATCCAGGTTGCTGAATTATTTTGGAGGAATGTATTTCAGTGAGTTGTCTTGAGAGATTCTCTAGGTTACGGCAACTGTGATTATCTAAATGCACAGACTGTTTAATATACTTACTTCAGATTTTATAGCCACGGATAGACGTTTGACACGAGCAGTTGTGTGGTTTAAATAATATGTTCAGGCGGGTAGTCAGGACGAATCAAACGAAGCCGGCGAAGTAGTGTAAATATCTGACGTACTACCAGAAGTACATCTTGCCTTGGGTCGTGCAATCGAAGTTCTCAAACAGCTGAGCCCAGACGTTGCACACGTTATTCATTTTCGCGGTAGCTATCGCTTGGGATTCTTCAATCCCGTATTATACAGCTTGCGATCAGTTAGCCCCATATTGTCATATATGCTATTTACGCCCGTCTCGGTAAGCAACTCCACTTATGTGAAGTAGGCGTTTGCAACGTAACCCCTACCCTCAGCAAACTCTTAAACACGAACTTATTGCGTCCTAGACCTACGGTCCCTGTTGATCGTATCCCCCTAAGCATCCCCTTGCAAATGAAGCCTATGCGACCGTACTTCAAGTGGACGCACAGACCAGCTGACTTCTCGGTAATCAGGTGTGCATGAACATCAAGAGAAAGCCAGCTAACCAGTCCTGGTGTGACGCGTTTTCACTGTTAGCGGATATCTTCTGCAACGATGTTCACGCTGCACCCTTCACTCTCAGTATTCTCTGTTAAGGGAAGGCAGCATTTTGATGCTTTTCTATCTGCACTTCCATTGATTAAGCTATCTCTCCTCGCTATAGCACTGTGCGAACTGCATTCCCCCACCTACAGAGCACCAATACTTGTTCGGCTAGTTTGCACTCAAAGAGACAACTACAATTCTTATATGTTACTTTGGTTACTATGTTGATCGGTTTGAGAATATGAGTCAACCTTTCCGCAAATTGTGAAATTCTTTGTATTGTTAAACGCTAATTTCAACGATAACGTCTGCAAATGCTTTGCGTCTTGTGGCGTTTCATTACTTTCTTGTTTTGCCACAGGACTAACATTACAGACGGTATGTTGCTTGAGTATAAAGTAGACTGTTCGGTGTCCAATCGGACGCAATCAATGACCGCATTGACGAAACGTTTTCTTGATGAACAACTCAAATGAGAAACGGGTAACTTGCAGTCTGAAATCAGATCCACACGTGAGTTGTGTGTCTAGCACAGCTCTTGCGTGCTGTACTCTCAGACAATCGTGGCCGTTCCTCATGGCTCAAGGTTTTCTGTCCCAGTCTCCTAGAAGTAGAGCCGCTAGTTTCTAGCCTCAGTGGGACCAAGTGCCTTACTCGCTGTTGTTGATTCCCGAATGCGTGGATGGATCATGCAGTGTATTTCCACTCTTGTGATAGCTATCTGATTGTGTCAAGATAGGAAGAATGCAACTTGCACAATTTTATTTCTTCTCCGACTTCTCCTTCCACCGTGGTCTGTATCATGCTTTGGCTCTTCTTTCGCATCCAACAGATACCCAGTCATATGTGTTGAACTTTTACGGGCGTGTAACGCAAGCATCAGTGAAAAATTTTCAGATTGTAGATGTGGCAAACGGTGAGTCATCTGGTAGTTTGGAAATATGCTTTGCTCTCTTTAACTCATTCATCTCTTTGCCACCCGCATTGAGTGCACTGTTCTCTCCTAGGAGCAGGGGTGAAGTTGTGCAGTGCCACTCACTGTGTCACTGGTGTGCCTGGATTGTTTTAACACCCTGCCACTGAGTAGTTAGCTTTAATCGCTTTCGACGGCCAAACCATGTCCTGCATATACCCATTGATCGGATTTCTCGGCTTGCATATTCCGCTGTGGCTGCACCAACTTGGACTACACCGCAAGATGGCCAGTTCATGACGTGACATAGAAGCTCGAAGAGATTGTCTAGGAGACGTGGTCAGACTGTTGCGTGCCGTCTTCCTGCATGGGAGTCTTAGGATAATTTGCATCAGTGACTGGAAACCTTTTCACACATGGCGCAGGCATTCAGTCTTTGGCGTTCTTGCATCTGGTTGTTACTTCTGGTCCTATTCCGATTAGTCTAACGCACCTACTTGTGTCAAATTTTTCAAAGTTGTATTTCCATCTATCTTACCTACTTATTTATTGTTATTCTTGCGACACGAGTTGTGGCAACTGGATCCACCGCACTTCATTGCTCGGATCATGGTTGTTTGACTGAACGTAACTACCACCTTGTGCCTCTCACTGCAGAGATTAGCATTTCACACGTATGCACCTAATTAGTGTTCTAAGCAGACATGGTTGTCTTTATTACATATCCTCGAAGGCCTTGCGTTTTGATAGGGCGTAGAAACGACACATCGTATCCCTCTTGTCCGACCATGAATGAGGAGTGGTTGTGCATAGCACTGCTTCTTCGTATGACGCAACGTCGAGACTGGATCCACCATAAAGCAAGCGAGCTGAGACATCTTTGGGACTACTATGTCGTCGTGAATCCCAGGAGAACACTCATCAAAATGTATGCATCTTGAAAATGTCTCAGATTCTGAGCTCAGTTCCTGAACGTCAGCGCTTTCCGAGCGATTCACGGAATCCGATTCGGATCATTTGCTTCCACGGAACACAATATTCCACGAAAATCCGAGCTTACTAACTATCACTTTATGTTCCACCACACCTTGTTCTATTGATAAGACAGACTGGCAGTTGTTCGTGGTTCAAAACGCGATCCACTAGCAGTGATTTGTGCCACGTTTATTCCACGGCCTACAGTAGGCCACGGAACAGATGTAATTTTAGAGGTAACCCAACACAGTTGTTGCATTGGGAAACCATAAACTTGTAATGAAACATCCTGAACGACTTTGCAGCTATATGGCGTACGGAGTGCACATCATACAAGCACCCCGATGCCAATCAGGTGGCGGTGAGATAACTGCTGAATGACCCCAGATTCTAAGAGCCATTGTTGATATCTAACATGCACGCCATTGTCACTGCTACAGTGAAGTAAGTGTCCTCGTCTATCCTGGTTTCTTATAACAGCCATTAAGACTACGATGAATTTGCAAACGTCACCAAAGAGTTTGCCATTATAGGAAGAACATTCCAGTTGTGCAGAAGCCATTTTTATAGCACACTGCAGGTAACGATCCATGAATTAGTCAGCTAGGAGACTTATAGGGCAATTAGTTTTTAATGTCTGGTATGCAAACGCATTTAATTGGTCTTTAGAATTTAACCCGAAATCGATTGTAAGAATTTGCTTACTGACTACCGAGATCCCCATAATTTTGTCTTAATGGGGGATTTCTCGTGCTTTGTACTCAAGAACCAATTTTCTGTCTCTGGATTTTACTTCAAATCTTGTCCTTCGGAACGTTCCATTTGCTCCACTGTCTTTCAAGTTGACAGCCGTTCAGTCATCAGGAACTTCATCCTTCACCAGTTGAAACTATTAAAATGGATACATATAACTTTGACAGTTTATTGTCCTAATAGAAACTGAACTACGCCACGGGTAGCAGTCCTGCCAATTAAGAGAAAATGATTAGTTGTGACAAGTTAAGGGGCGCTATTCGTTTGGCTAAACAGATTTACATAATAGTATTAGTATTAACATCCTATATATAAATTTCCGCGTTTGGTTCGTGGAATTCAACATTACTATGCAGCTTCTGTTTGATTTGCTTGCCGAAGCACTGTTTTCGGTAAACTACCTCCTCCCCAACATGGGGCTTGAAATTTCACAAACGGAGTGGTTCTATAAAGAACACAGGCTGCCATTTTTGCCGACTTATGCGTAATATAGTATTTGTTCCACATCAAACTAAAAACTAAACCAGTTTACTTAAATAAACATATCAGTAAAAGTCCATTTTTACCAACCTACGAGGATGAACGACCCAGAGGTTATACAGCCCCACTTTGTCCCATATTCATCACAAAATCATCTACCAATTAATTGAAACTTCTGGCTAGACCGAGAAGAAAAGTGACTAGGGTAACCTGTACGTTGAAAGTCTTCAACTGTATATACAATAGCATACATTAGTTCAATGTGACACTCATTCTGTGAGTGAATTTCCTCAAGTCCGCTGGTCCTGAATTGAACCAAGTCTTTTGTGACCACGCTGCATCGTTCTTCACTTGTGGATATCCGTATTAATCGAGTTTAATGCTGGGATGCTAGATGAATTGATTTTATTGTGCAAACCCATACAATTCATCACATTCTTTTATTCCTTCTCAAGATGCGTGCGTGTCCAATTGACCTTAGCGCACTTTTAGTGCATTGTGCCATTTCTTTTCACTATGATCACCTCCATCATCTGCATTCACAGAGCATCGATTCGCAGTTATCGCGAGACATTTTCCGCCAAGGTCGATCTAATTTTGTACCCGGTCAAGCTTCAAACGGTAGCCGCGTTTGCACTCATACAGCTTTTTCATAATGCAGCTAGAAGTGGCTTGGAACTAGCGTGCTGAGGGGTGCAAGTGTTAAATTTCGGTTTAGCCTATAAAAACACGAAACAGTCGGATATTCTCCAAGATAAGGAACATGATCGATATACACTATCCATCTTGCTGCACGGTCAACCTGGGTTCCTTAAGAAATAATGGATTTGTGTCTGCCCTACCGCTGCTGGTTCAATTCACGATACGTTCTTCGGCGCCGAATTGAATCAACTTCCCTGACAGCAATGAGAAAAACGGTAACAATGGACCTATCCGAGTGTTCACATAAGCATAGAGACCAACCCACCTACCGCGATTTTGGGGGGATCATCTTGGCACAATGCCTGTTTTCGATTTAAAGCATTGAGTTCCCTTTATCATTCTAAATAAGACAATAAGAAGACTGGTATTGCGAGATGGTACCATTTCGTGTTATCTGTTCACTCGCAAACTAACAACAGATAGATGAATCACGTGACAGAAAACATCGAAGATTTGAAACTGGTCACAAGGGAAAAATTACGTAGACACAACCATGACAGATTAGCATCCTAATCTTAGGGTCATGAGCCCCAAGGAAGCTTCAGGGAGACTGTTAATTGTTTTTGCACACATAGGATAGGAAGATGCCGGTTAAGTGCCACGGCTTCGGCAAACCTCAACACTTTGGGCTTGCCATTGTCTCGACGTGAACATGAGTTAAGCCAGCATGCACGAACTGGTCAACATACTGCCAGTTTCCTTCTAAATACCTTTGTGCAGTAATGACTTATCAACAAACGTTCCAAAGCGGACTAGTTAAGATGGGTGTAAACATTCGGGGATATTCCAACCGCCAATACTATGCAGCTCAATTAATTTGGAGGACACTCAGCTTTATACTATTACCCGAATTTATCAATGTGCGACAACTATGATCCGGGTTCTTTACTTCCTGGTATGCCAAGATGGGATTACTCATTTTACTTGCACACCATCCGTACTCTACGCCCAGCGTTTTCAGTTTAAGTCACCATGCGAAATACAAAAGGGCTAAAATATCCATATCGCCCATCGAGGCAAGGACCCGAGCTTCCACCATAATCCTAAACAAAGTACAATAATTTATAACGGGTAAGAAATTGGGCGCTTGATAAATCCCGTAGAATGGATGGAGTTACTACTAAAATGATCAAAAGCTAAGTGAGCCGTCAGATTTAGTGTCTACCGATGTAACTACATTGCTGCACACCGACAGTTTAGAATGAGAATTGCGTGTGTGCACACAAAGTAGTGTTCGGAGCAATACAATTCATATACTCCGTGAGAAAACATCAACAAGTATAGGACGACGCTCACTCGTGTGCGGCATCCTTGGACTGATGCGGTACATAAATTCAGTCTCCCCTGTAGCAGCGTTTAATAAATGTGTAAGAAGTGAACGTAAGCCCCTTGATTTGTAGTCTTAAGTTGACGCCTGGACATGGAGAGTTATATGGCGCGATGTAAATGTATGGGTGTATCATTCAGACGCCTTGTTAGTACCGTTACTGTGGGGGAAGAAACAACGCAAGTTGGAAGGACGTTCCATGCACTGCAGACACCAAGTGAAAATAAATGCCGGTTCATTCCAATCGGCCATACTGTGTGGTCAGCTTTATCTGGTGTCTTTTCAGAGTGGTATTTTGATTCAGCTTCTGACGACAACCATGTTTCGGATTTCTCAGAATCAAATAAGTCCTCATGCAATCGCCACGCATGTGTCGATATTGTCCACTGTAGACCTCGAGGAAGTTCAATCCCAGCTAGTAAGAGAGATGAGAAAGGCCCTTTACGTAATTAGTCGCCATTTGTTGTGTCATTTCAAATACGGTGATGTCGTGCTTGTGCCAGGGTTGGCAGGTGTGGATAGGGTATTCTGACTGTGGCCTAATATACGCGTTGAGCATCTAAGAGAAGACTGAAGAGCCAAAATGCCCGAATGCTCTGTGCAAAAGGACAAGGCATTGGTTGGCTTTGTTGATGACTTCCCGATCTGACTTGAACAGCTAAAATCCACTTGTACTGTCACACCCGGATGACATTCACTAGACGCACATTGCGAAACGTGCTCCTCCCGCCGGGACGGGCAAGTGTATTGATGACGTAGGCTCAGTGGCTTACAGTTGATGGCGCTGAAAGGAGGCGGGTTCTGAGTCGCCCATCCGTATACCCTATCAAGATCATCCGGAAGCGGTACGTGCTAACTCGATATTCCGATGGCCCACCATATCTTAACATCATCAGCGAAGCGTAAGAAATTGGTAGTGGTCATTCTCACAAGGTCGCCTATGTAAATCAAGGATAGGCAAAGACCAAGTATTGAACGCTGTGGCACTGCGCACTGAAAATCGATAGGATCAGAGATGGCACTGCGAAATTTCACATTCTGATGACGTTGCTTCAAGAAGTTACTTGTCCAGCCGGGAATTTGGTCATCAGTTTCATAGCTCTGAAGCTTGTGGATGAAGAGTTGATGTTTCAGGTGGTCCAACGACTTTGAGAAGTTCAGATAAACTGTGTCAACTCCCACACCGTTTTCGACGGTTTCAGTCTAACTGGAGCAACTAGCAGGTATCTGGTGCAATACCGGTTCTGGCTGAATCCATGCTGCTCTGGTGCTTTGATTGTGCATCCTTGCAAGTAATTAATGAGCGCTTTGGCAATAAAAGACCCCGTGACTTTTGACAGCACCAGAAGGAGTGTTCTCAGGTAGTAGTTGGCCGGCTCTGCGCGACTTTCTTCCTCGTGAACGGCAGTGCCGATTCTGTTTCCACATTGTTGGAACCCGCAGCTCATCGAGTCATTGTTGGAAGAACTGAGAGAGTGGAAGCGTCAAATACGATGAAGCTAACTTCAGCGCCTTTGGTCGAGTATTATCAGTACTAGCAGAGGTGCTGGTGGTGTTATAACTTGCGTGAACAGCATAGCTAATGAATTCGTCTTCTGGAAGGTGTATGGGAATCGCTGACATGGGACATTGGACGCTTCTGTTTTAGTTTGTGCCCTTCCACTTGAAGTGCAGGAGAGAGGAATCCCTCGTGGCACTGTACGGAGTTTGTTAACCTCTATGATAGAGCTTGGGGTTCGAGGAGATTGTCTCAACTAGATCCTGTTGCTATTTTAGCTTATCCTTCAGTACTGATACACAAAATGATTTCGCTGGATGGCATCAGCTTGACATGTTTCGGCGCCCCATGATTCTATGTAGTTTCGCCAGAATGAATCACTTGTGAACATACACTTTCGTGTCCTACTGCGTATGAATTGTTTTACTCTCCTCGAAGCGATGGTTACTAACCAGTTGAACCGATGAACAAAATTCCTCTGACAATGGATGGCGTAAACCCACTTGGGATTTTTCGTTAGCTCTGAACAGTTGCGACGTGATGGCAACACCAAACTAGCCGAACGCCTGCTTCAAGAGACCGGTGTTTTGGCTCTCAATTTGCTACACTTCAGCAACCTGCGCATTGTCATAGAAATTTGTGCCAAACAAATCCACGTTGCACAGCGGCTCAAGTAGAACGGAACTGCGGATTACTATGACATTTTACATCGGATATAGTTGACCTTTGAATCGAACATCTTATTTCTAAGCTATCGAAGCTCTTATTATTTGGCATACTAACTTATGCGGTAATGAATATTGAAGATGCTACCGATAAACTGTGGTATTCCCTGAATTCCCGGGAAATTCTGTGCAGCTAAACCAAGTTTTAACCACACAGGGGCTTGAATAAACTGAAGGGAGAACGCTTGTTGCAATAGAATGAAGTGCTTCTTCAGCTATTTCACAATGATTGGTGAATGCCTAAATGGTTCACGCTGTGACGCTGTATGAATTTGGCTTTCACAGACAGTTCACACTTTTTCGTCAACACATGCCGTCGCCTTACAAGAGCAGTGATTAAGCAGTTTAGCACTGCTGGTATAACTCCTTCGAACAACTTGCAGAGCTTAGAACCAAAGAAACGTGAAAACAACGCCCAGAGTAGAGCGTTCGTGAACATTCCTTATGAAACTGGTTATGCTAGGCAAGTATTGTGGTCTGTAAATTCAGAGTAGGCCATGCTTTGAACCGTTCATTCTTTCACATGATACAAGTAAAGCAACAATCAGTCATTCAATACCGATGTAGTTAAAGTATCGATTGAGAATTATACATGCGTATACATCTTTGCTATAATCACAGATACTGTGTCTAGCAGTGCATTTGTGGAATTTAATCATCGACTAAAATTTCCTTTGATTTCACCGTGAACCGAAACTGACCAACAGCCATTTGTCAGCCATTTGTGATGATCGTTCGTTCCTTAGCAATTCATACCCTCGGTCGTGAACGGCAGCGAAGTTCGATTCTGGTTGGTTCGCATTCCAACTCTTGCTCACAATATTAGTCCCACAGTATGTTAGTTGCTACTGTGTATTGACACTAGGTTTGAACTAGAACATAAGGGAGCATCTTCATACGTTCGTAATTGAATAGACCTTGGTAAAATCACTTTCGCAAATACATCATAACGGGAGAATACGGCCAACTTCGCTCATACAGTTTGGCAAATTCGCTGATGTACATTTCGATATCCATTATCCATGTATATTCGCCTGCATTCCCCTTTCTAGCGAGCTTCGTCATCATGCAATTTGGTCGCATTGCAGAAGACGTATTCACCATGGACTACGCATATCCAATGTGCGCCCTCCAAGCTTTCGGTATTGCCTTATCCTCCTTTGATGGAAAACTCGCGTGCGAGTAGGATCCAGTCAATTGGAGGCCTCCAATTGCATGAGTGCTCTGATCCACACGATGACGTTTCCAGCAGACCGAACAGCCAACCCACAGAGTTGTGGCGGCCACACTGTGATCATGTTAACATGCATTTTCTGATTCCGCAATGGGTACAGTGTTCAAAGCATTCCCCGTCCCTGACCGCGGTCTCCAACTCCCAGAATACCAAAGCATATTCAATAGGCGTTGTCTCCATTGTATAGTCCTTGTTGATGTCATCGTGCCTCCTGCGCCCAATCATCTAATTACTCATTTTGCTATTCCGGTTGCACTACACCAATGATTCAACACGTCATATCAGTTTTCATGATGAATACCATTTCTCTAACCTGGATGTTCCATCTGTCACATTACTTGATCCACCACGTATTCTACCATCCATGCAATTAGTTTGTTTCTCATGAGGGCTCCGGACGTTGACAGCAATTTCTGCCCCACCCTTGCTGATTAATGAACCACCAATTTTGTGTAGTGTAAAGACACAGGAGCTTAGTCCTGTCTTGGATTAGTTGCATGTTCCAGTTTGCCTAGTTTGCGGAAACGCCCTGACTAGTAGGTTCGTTTGGTTTCTACTAGCTGCGTGTCAAGCTTGCATACCGACGACTTTGAGACTCGATGGCATGCAACAGCTATTTCAGTTCTGATTCCTGCGCGTATGCAGCAGATTACAGCTGTGTCATGATTTATTCGGTTGCGCTTATTTTCTTAAATCTGAAAGCTGCATAATGTGTCTAGCATTTGTTTGAATTTCGACACCGATATCGCCAAGACTACGTTCTCCTACAACATGTTCAATCCTTCAGCATTTACCACTGAAAGCATAGAGGGTGAGCTATCCGCTTCAGGCCCTGTACCAAAAGCTTATACCTGTGCCCGCGAGTACTACTTAATGCGCACACGTGCAGCATGGGGAATCGATTCAGAGGAAATATTCAGTGCATCAAATGGAGGTCAACCCTAAACCGACGATACGACAGGATGCGCAACCCTAGTCGTCTGCATCGGTCTTCACACGACCTACCCAGTAAATTGGGGATGGGTGTGGTGGCTACATAGTGAACCCGTTTGAGTCTCTGCCCCGGGTCCTAAGACAATAGGCGGATTATTCGTACTCGAGTACCGGTCGTAGTATGGAGGAGAAAAGACGAGTGGCAGAAGCTGCGTTTTGGCGCCCAAAGCATATACAGTCTGTTTCTGTATAATTGTTTCATGTTATCTACAGATTTCAACTTGCATTGAGTGAGTACACTGAGATAGAGAAATAGTATATGATAGGGATAGAAGCGCATGCTTGACGTCTCTCGTAGGATGGTTAGGGTGAAAATTGGAAACCTACAAAAATATCGGTGTCAGTAAAAGATCGTGTGAGGTACGTGGATCACAAAGCTTTTGGAGTACACATGTGCGAGTGTTGCTGCCAGGAGTTTAGGATGGTTTTGACACCGTCCACTGTTTGTTGTGCATTGATGTTATCATCTGATGGGCATAGTCTCTATCACGTAGTGTACACGTGTAAGAGTATCGTCAAAGTGTTTTGTTGTAGAACGTTCCAGGGTTGTGACACTTGGAGAAAAGTTGCGTTGACATTCCGGTGGGCCGTACTGCGTGGTCAACTGAAACTGAGGACACCTTAGACAAATGTTTTGACTGAGTTTCAAACGAGAGTGACAAGTGTGGTTTGGGTTTCTCAGGATCTGATACACCATTATGGGACCGCTCCTTAGACACCGATATGGTCCGCTGTATAGTTTGAGAGTTTGCAGTCTGAGTTGGAAGGGAAGGTTGGACAAACCTTTGACGTTCTTCGTCGTCGTCCTGCGTTGTGCCGTATCGGGCGCGATGAGGTGGTGCTTCTGCAGGGCAGCCACGCTTGATTGGCGTATTCCGCATGCGGCCTCACGTACTCGCCAAGCATTTTCGGAAAGATTGAGGCGTCACAATTTTCGAACGCCCTACAAAGAAGGCCAATGTATTGGTTTGATGTCTTGGATGCCTTGCAGCTTGCGTCAATCAGTCATGGTGCTCTTGGACGAGCACATCAAGATCACACTCATGAGAAGCCCACTGGCATTTGTGGTCCTAGGCGGTAGTTGTGAGTCCTCTTATGTCATATGCTAAGCTTATTGCACTTGGTGCCATTGAACTGAAGCATGTTCTCGATGGACCATGTGTCCGCTTTTACAGGTCATCCTCTAGGGCCGTGTGATCTTCCAAGAAAGCGGTAGCATGCCATATCTTTAGCTCATCTGCACTTAGCGAACAGTTTGAAGCCCACACACTTGCGAGATCATTTATGAAGACAAGAAACAGGCGAAGCCCGAGTACTGAGCCCTGAGGTATGTTGCACTGAACTTCGATTGCTTCCAATAGGTTACTGCGAACCCTCACATTCTGGTGACTTTGAACGAGAAACTTTCCTATCCATCCCAGAACGTGATCACCGGTATCCTAATTCTGGAGTTTGTGCAACAGAACTCGGTGGTGCAGGCAGTCGAATGACTTTATGAAATCCAGGTAGGCTGCGTCTACTCCTACCGCAGCGTCCATAGATTCCGCCCAGCTTGCACGTGTTATCAGCAGCTTAGTGGTGCAAGACTGATTATGTCAAAATTCGTGTTGCTTCAGAACGAGAATGTTGTTACTCTCCAGGTACGCCATGAGCTCTTCAGCTACAATGGACTCCATGATCTCGAAGACCCCGGGAATTAGTGGTATGGGGCGATAATTTGCCTGTTCTGCACGGCTACCACTTTTATAGATTGGAGGGTAGATCCCGTGCTTACACATCGTGAGGACATGCATCTCGTTAAGACATCGCTGAGAGCGTATTGCTAACGGTTTAGCTAAACTCATGGCAGCAAATTCCAACGCCTTCGAGCGAATGTTGTCTGCGCCCAGGGAGCCGTATCCGCGCAAGGACATTAGCCATTTCAGTGCAGCTGCGGTAGTACAATATATGTGGTTAAGATCTGATGACGGCATGATCTGCGTAAACATGGTGTAGGATTATTGCACACTTTAGAAGGTAGTGCTAAATTGTTATCCAAGAACGTTGGTCGCCTCTTTTACTGTTTGTGAAAACCTGAATGCTGTGTACAGAGCAGGAATTCGCGTTTATCCCGGCGACGTTTGTTTACCTGTATGTGTAGCAGCTTTGAATTTAAGCAAAAGTTTTACCACATGGTCTTGTTGGTTCTGTACTTTATCCTCCTGGACCAGTTTGACACATTGGTCCCTTTGTGTTTATAAACGTCCCAAGTGTCATGGCTCGGAGGGGCTATGTGGGTGAGCCATGCAAAGCCTCTCAGTGTCATTTATTTCCGAGCCCTGCTCCTTAGGAAGACTACATGTTTTTGGGTCGGTGGATTTTTGGCTTCAGATGTGCTAGCTACGAGCCTGTTGCAACTTTTGACAAATTCAACGCAGGCCACATCAGGGGACCACTCGGCTAGGCCCGACCATTTTGTTGCACGAACGAGTTCGGACAGGATATCATAGTTGGTTACCATGTAAGATTCCTTGATTTCTTCTTCAGGAGACTGCGCAGCACATGTGTCGCAAGATCGCTGTGGCCCAAAGTTGTGCACTGCACTACTACATCCATCATGAGTTCCTTGTTTGTAAAAACCAGATGCAAGATGGCCGGTTTGTTGTTTGTCCTGAAACGCGTTGAAGTAGTGACACGGTTGCACAGCGGAGAACCAACTAATAACTCTTACAGTTTCGCCTTGAATTATTCAACCAGAGTGGCCGGTTTTTCTGTGCTACGCAGATTTAAGTCCTCTATCAAAACATCGTAGCTGTAGGATCGTTCCAGTAGGTCCAGTAGATCTTAGAGGAAGCCATCTCCTGGTCCGTTTCCAAGGTGGATAGTGGTGGGCGATATACATTGGATACCAAATATGTATCGCTTCAGCATAGATGTCGGCAGCCCAACAAGTCGTCGACAGTTTGACTTCCAGAGTCGTTTAAGCGGTTTATGAGAAGTTCGGAACTGTAGTGTAGAATCACACCGCCTCTCTTGGTGGGTCGGTCGTTGCGCAGGAGTGACATACCAGGTAGTATGAGCTCGGCGTCGGTAAACATGTCGTTGAGCCATGTCTCGGTTACCTTGATGAGGGCCAAACACATTGACGTTTGAAACAGTGAGTTCCCTTTAGTAATTTGAAAAGCGCAGTAAGAAGACGAAGACTGGCAAATGCACGCATTTCGTATTGTCTCATCTGTGCCTTTAACAATAATTCGCAATAATATTTATTCACTGAAGTGTGCGACCGAACGTACATACAAACAAACAAATAGACCAACACGTGCTAATTGAGACAGGGTTATCAACCCTATCCCCAAGGCAGTCTAATGCCGACCGATAGTTGTTTCTGAACACAAAGCATCGGCTTAATCCGGTTAATTGCAATCGCGTCTGCGAAACGGAGGAGGCGAGAATTGGTGTGTTGTAATAAGATTGTGAACGCCGAATGGACCTCGACTCGGTGAAGTGGTGGTCAATAGGTGTCGGCCGATCGAAGAGGCTGGTGGCTTACGCAGATATGCAGTTTACCTCTGGCCAGTTTCCTGCGCGGTCGAATGTTGAACCCACTTAGGTATATGCTCCTTCATTCTGGAACTCATTGTTCTATCGGTCCTGCCTATGTAACTGGGGCCGCAGTCACAAATGTATTGGTAAACGCGATGCGATTTGGCCCCGATAGACTGAGCCTCCTTTACAGAAGGAAGTGGCAGTTTTTGGGTTTTGTTAATGACGACGACCTTTGCGGCATAGTAAGTTGTCTGCATGGCACAGATCAGACGCCCTGTGGTCCTCAACGAGGAGACGTCACCTTTGAATGGCAGTTCAATGATTACAGGCTTCTTAGGTACCTTGTGAACTAGGTCCCTTGGTCGCATTTGACTATGTTTCTCGGTGAACCTTCGGGGGTAGCCGTTTGCGATGAACGTGTTGGTAATCAA